TATATATATATATATATATATATATATATATATATATATATATATATATATATATATATATATATATATATATATATATATATATATATATTACTTTTAAAAATAAGACAAGTTTTTTTCATTTTATTTAAAAACATTTTATTATTCAAGACATGTTTCGACTATATATAGTCATCATCAGTTAAAATATATTTGTCAAAAACAGTATAAAATATAGTATATAATTGTAAAAATAAACTAAAATGTTTTTAAATAAAATTAAAAAATTTGTCTTATTTTTAAAACATTTAATATGCTGAAAAGAAGTTTCGTTAATATATATATATATATATATATATATATATATATATATATATATATATATATATATATATATATATATATATATATATATATATATATATATATATATATATATATATATATATATATATATATATATATTTATATTTATATATATATATATATATATATATATATATATATATATATATATATATATATATGTATATATATATATATATATATATATATATATATATATATATATATATATATATGTATATATATATATATATATATATATATATATATATATATATATATATATATATATATATATATATAAATTAAAGTTTCTCTTTAATTTTTCTCATTTAACTAACAACTTTATTTAAATTAGCTAGAAGTTAAGTGGAAAAATACTAAATAAAGAAATGGTTAATTTTTCTTTGACTTATTTTTAAATAATAATTCTTTACTATGGTTTTATGAAAATAATTTATAATATTTTAGTAAAGTAAATCTCATAACAGTTAAAATTATTGTATGAATTATTTTGTTAAGATTTTATGAGCTATTTTCCTAGGATATTATGGTTAAAAATTCATATTGCACCTCAGCTTTGACTTAAGAACATTGAAAAGCCATAAAAAGAGATTTCAAGAACAACTGAAATGTGGTAGTGGTGTAGTGGTAGAGCGCTTGCTTCATAAGCAAGAGGTTCCGAGTTCGATCCCCACTACATACCTGGTAGTACCATGCTCAACTTGTTTCTCTGCGCAGCGGCCTTGTTTGTCAAGGTTTGTGTTTCAGAGTGATAGAGTTAAGAGAGGGTTATAACCACAATTAAGCAGCCTCTTTGTCTATAGCAGCTTTCTCACCCTTTGGGAGGGGAATTAACAAAAAACTGAGCGTTGTGTTAGAATGATTTAAAACAATTATAAACCACATGTGTGTGTGTAAACTAGAGGTTTAAACTAGAGGTTAGAAGAAAAAAAGTTATAAATTAATTATTTACAAAGCTAAAAAGGATTCAACAACACTATTAAAAATATTTTTAAATTATAACCTCACATACAATCAGAGGACATTTACTTAAAACAAGTTTATTTTCAAGATCTCTTAGAAGTGTGCTGAAGTGAAAAGTAAGGAATTACATTTACTCACATTACTGCAATTGAGTAGTTTTTTTGTGAATTTTTACTTTTAGGTATATTTTTTTAACATGTACTTTTACTTTTACTTTAGTATCTTTTTTAAAGTATTGTACTTTGCTTAAGATATTATAAAAACTATAAGGAATATCTTCGCAAAATATAATGATACATTTGTCAATGCTATATGTTTTTCTGCAAATTTTGCAAGAAAGTAGAAAAAAACTTCAACTTATAAAATGAGTATTTAATAACGATAAGTTTTAGTAATATATATCTGCATTAATAAATGCAAATTTAAAAATATCAGTTAAATATATTATTTTTGTAAATACTATATTAATTTATATTTTTGCATGCTTTTATAAAATTGATAAGCTTTTAACTTGTGTTAGATGGAAATAGTTGCATGCGCTCTTAAAGACTTTTAACAATTTTAGCTTAGTTTCTTTTCACTTTTTAACATCATAAAATAAACTTGTTAGTCCAAAAAGTTTTTTTAAATCTTTAAGCAAACATCGTAATTTTAATAGAGAAAAATTGATAAACGCAAAGTTTGTTTTTTGTCTAATTTACGCTGTATGATTGCCCGTTTGTCGATTTGTCAATTTCTAGCAAAGAAATGATGGAGTTTGAAAAAACAGATGCAAACTTAGCTGAATTGGAATTGTGGATTCAGTGCATGTAAAAGTTCTTTAAAAGCAGGTTGTTCAACCAAAGAAAATGAATGAAGACTGTCACAAATAAATTTGATCATTAGCTTGTCAACCTTTTCCTGTGACACATGATTGTTGACATGTGTGACATGTTTGCACTGGGTGCAAACAATCGTGTGTCACAGGAAAAGGTTGACAAGCTAATGATCAAATTTATTTGTGACAGTCTTCATCCATTTTCTTTGGTTGAGCAACCTGCTTTTAAAGAACTTTTACATGCACTGAATCAATATTGCAAATTCATGTCTAGACCCTCTCTTCGAATCAGAATTGATGATGATGCCATTCAGTTGAACAAGACTGCTTTCACACCTCAGTAAATTCAGCTATGTTGCCACAATTACTAGTTGCTGGTCTGTGTATCAGAAAAGTTTTATAGGGGTGGCAGCTTATTGAATTGATGAGGAAACCATGGAGCAGATATCTGCTGCACTTGCTTTCCAGAGATTGAGAAGGTCACACACCTTCAATGTTCTAGCAGGCACTCTTGATGACTCTTTGGAAGTACAGAATATGGGGAAAAGTGGTTAGTTTAGTGGAACTATCACAGACAGCAGCTCAAACTTTATAAAGGCATTAAGTTTTTTTGGGCAGAAAAGCCAGACTCAGGAAACAGAGTCAGAATCAGAACAAGTTTCTTTCCAAGAGTCTAAACCTGAGTCTGAGTACCTGGACACATTTGATATCCTAGAAAAGGACAGTGGTTTTGATTACCAGCTTCCTCCACATTAAAGGTGTGCATGCCACTTGTTAAATTTAGTTGCCACAATTAATTCTGCCTTGGCAGAAAAGAACAACAACACATACAAACAGGTATCACGAGCTTCGGGAAATGCCAAGCAATGTGGAACGAGTCGGGTTAGTCATGCTTGGTAGCGGAAACAGTTAAAGAGAAATGCAAGCTCCAACTCATCCGGCCAAATCAGACTTGATGGAATTCAACATACATGGCTGTAGAGAGAATTTTAAAGATTATACAAGAAAAAGGCCCAGATGCTATCAGAAATGTGTAAGAAAAATTCAAAGCAAAAATGCAAGTTTTCCCAACTTATTCAAAGTAATTAAATAAGTATAAAATTATACTGACTGAAATAATTTCTTAATCTTCATCCTAGTTTTTGGTATCCAAGAGCTCTAAAAATATAATTAAGTTTATGGACTACTAATAGGAAAAAAATTAAGACTTTTAGGTTAGAGGAACAATCATTTTTTGAACCCGAAGTCCTTAGGTATAATGGCGGTAAGGACTTCGGGACTCCACGACTCCGGACTTAAAAACAAAAAGTTTAAAAAAAAATAAGTCATTAAATCTCATGAATTTCTTTCTTATAGCAGATCATAAGTCAGCAAACATATTTAGAGCTTCTGGACACTACAGAAAAGTAGATATAAAGCCGGAGTCCTTTTGGGACTCCGCATTCCTGTTGCATAGTTATATACCTATTGTAAAGGCAATGGACATTCTTCAGTCTGAGACCAACAAACACACGAGATGGCTTCTGCCAGTGATCTTTCAGTTATAAACAAAACTTAACAACCTAGAGACATCCTCTAAAATGTTTCTGCCCTTTATTAGAGCAGTTCATGGATTTCATTGATTCTTCGCATCAGGTCACAAGGTACAGGAAAGGTTGATGGGTAACTTGCTTGTAGTTCAAATAAAATGGATCTGTTGAACTCATTTCCACACTTCAAAAACTTTTCTCTCTAACTGAACATTATTCTTCCTATTTCGGCTGTCTGTGAGCGTCTTTTCAGTGGTGCTGAATTATTATTTATTGCAAAGCAAGCAAGATTTAAATCTAATAACTTTGAAAACCAACTTAGCAAAAAGTTTATAGTGTAAAAATATACAGAAAACAATGTTTATGTTTTATTTTTCTAACTGAAAGAAAAAAATGTTTATGTTTTATAAGACTAACTGAAGTTAAAGAAAATAAACAATATGCAACAAAACAAATTGTTATAGATCCTGTATGGAAAAAAAGAAAAAACTTTTGCAAAAAAAAAAAAAATTTTTTTTTTTGCTTCTGTTATTATTTTGATTAGTTTTATTGTTATTAACTATTTGTTTCATAAACATTGAATTTTCTTAATTTTTTTTTGTATAAAAACAAATTATCCGTTTCTCTATTTGTTTATTTTTTTTCAAGTAAATTTCCAGCTACCTTGTTAATTCCATGAGAAATAATACTATACCTAATACTTTTTTTAAAGGTATAAGTATTAACACTAAACTTTATCAAAACAAAAAAATGTAATATCAAATATCATCATTTGCTGTAAATAAAATGTATTTTTCTAAATATTTATATATATATATATATATATATATATATATATATATATATATATATATATATATATATATATATATATATATATATATATATATATATATATATATATATGTATATATATATACACACACACACACACATACACATACACATACACACACACACACACACACACACACACACACACACACACACACACATATATATATATATACATACAAACATAAATATATTGCAGGTCGGCAAAAAAAAAATTTATTACAAAATATATTGCAGGTCGGCAAAAAAAAAATTTACACAAAGAGGTTACCATAAAACATAGAAAAGAGGTCGGCGATTTTTTGCCGACCTCAAACATTTTTATGTCGGCAGTTAGGTCGGCATTGCCAATATATTGCAAATATATATATATATATATATATATATATATATATATATATATATATATATATATATATATATATATATATATATATATATATATATATATATATATACACATACTAATTGTGTACTAACCTAATGTAAAAATTTAATTTTTATTATAGCTATTTGATTTTGAAAATCCAGTGAACCGACGTGCCTCTGATTGGTTATTTTCAACTGAAGGTCACATTTTTCGAATAGATGAGCAATATCGTGCTTCGAGTTGGGATAAATTTGTTTCAAAAGATTCACCACCTCAAAGTTCAGCAAAAAAAATAAAAAATAATACTTATGTAAGTAGTAGCACTTAAATAAATTTATATATATATATATATATATATGTATATATATATGTATGTATATATATATATATATATATATATATATATATATATATATATATATATATATATATATATATATATATATATATATATATATATATATATATATATATATATATATATATATATATATATGTATATATATATATATATATATATATATATATATATATATATATATATATATTTAATTTCATAAAACATTTTAAAAATTTTTGTTTTTTTTTGTTTTTAGTCTTCTGTTTGTGAAGCCTATAACGACAATATATATTCAAAACTTCCAATGAAAGACAAGTATTTTGATCAAATACAAAGATTGGTTGGTTTGATTGACTAATACTCGTCGTTTTCTGTTATATTAGCAAGCTCAATTTTGCCAAATTTATCACTAAATTGCCGTTTATTTTCGTATTTTTTATATGTTTTTTAAATAAATGGTACTTCAACTAACATTTAGTTATGCTTGGTTTCATTAGGTATGTGTAACGTCTAATTTTTTAGTCTTGATCTTGAAACATTCACGACTTTTTAATCATGGAAACATTCAAAAGTTCTATCGGAGAAAAAAATAGTTTTTTAATATTTCATAATATTAATAATAATAATAATAATGATAAAGAAAAGTTTATAAATACGTCCTTGTATTGTTATTTTTATCTATTATTTTATTTCATTGTAACAAGTAGGAAATATAACGTCAAATAACCGTTAATAATAAAATTAACAATACGAACAGTATGAAATAATAACAATGTAGTTATATAACTTTCGTACATTCTCACATCAGCAATATATACAGTGGTGTGCAAAATAATAGGTGATTGGGCTGGCCACTTCAAAACCCGAATTTTCTTGTTATGAAATTAATTTTTTACTACCTTCGCAGTATGCTTTGGGTCATTCTCTTCTTGACAGACCCATATCCCAAGGTAGATTTTCTGTGAATGGTAGCTTAACATCCTGTAGTATATTTAAATATATTTCTTTATTCATACTTTCTTTGATCCAAAAAAGGGTGCATACTCCATAATATGAAAAGCAACCCCATATTTTAATATTTCACCTCCATGTTTAAGCGTTTTTACAGTGTATCTAGGATCATATTCTGTCATCTGACATTTTATCAGTGCATCTGTAAAGTGTAATTATATTTAATGTTGTTAACGATCGATTTGCGTTAATTGTAAATAGTTGTATATAGTATAAAGTCATAGTTATAAATACCAAGAGATAATGATTGTATATAAATTATGTTGAACTGCATTAGAAAATATGAGGCGTTTAACGCTAAACTTATAAAGTCGATTTTGATGTGAAACTACAAGCTATTTCGGCTAAAATCTCGACTAAAATTGATTTAAAGTTAATTCCGGAGTTTAGTGGAAATGATCACCAATAAACTGCAGAATGGCTGGAAAAACTGGAACTAGTATGCAAACTAATTGGTGTCACCGATCTGGCGAGCGTTGTTCCCCTTCGTCTCACAAATGGTGCATTTGTAGTATATCAACAGTTAGCAGAAAGTAATAAAGAAGACTTTGACCGGATAAAAGATGCGTTGCTAAAAGCTTTTGTCGTTGATGCATTTACAGCTTACGAACAATTCGTTACAAGAAATTTAAAGCATGGAGAGGCAGTTGATGTTTATTTAGCGGAACTGCGGAGATTATATACGCTGATTGATGGGCTACCAGACAGAGCTATTGCATGTGCCTTCGTTTCTGGGCTTCCTGAGGAAGTTTGACGGATGCTGAGATCAAGTTTTCGTATGGATGATTTTACTACTACACAAATACTTGCGCGAGCAAGAGCACTCATGATTGAAGAAAGGAACGATGGAACGAATGAAAATTTTGCTGCTGCTGCAACAAAAAGACGTGCTAAGTTGATGTTGCTTGAAGATCAAACACAACCAGTTTGTTATGAATGTAAACTCCCGAATCATTTTGCAAGAGATTGTCATCTACGAAGACATAGCAATCGAAGCAAGTTGGGTTGGAGACGGGAGACAAGCAATGTTTTGTGTTACTCGTGTCAAAAGAAAGGATACATATCAAGGATACATATCAAGCGTGCCGAGGGAGAAGATGTTTGCGCCAGCTCTCTTCCCAAACAATCAATAATGGCGTTACCTACTATACGCTCGGACATTAAAGGTGTTCTTCGTGATGTGTAGATTGACTCTGGATGTACCTGCTGTATCATTTATATAAAATGTGCCCCAAAAATTACGAAGAAAGTAGTTAGCATGGTAACTGTGAATGGACAACAATAACAGTGCGAAGGCGTTAGCCAAACTCGAATCGTCACGCCAAATGGGAATGAAGTTTTTGTCGAAGCACTTGTAGCTGACTTCAAATCATTTGGTTATTGTTTTTTGATGGGTATGGATGGAGTAGTGGCTCTTGATAAAGTATCAATACCTGCAACTCGTGATGTTTGTTTTATTGGAAGAAACGAATCATGTTTACTTGGACTAAGAAGTGATATGCCAAAAGATGTCAGTAATTTTAATATAACAGCTCGAGATTTCACAGCTTCGTTTGAAAAACAAAATCGAGGATGGATAATTACGATTTTGTTTTTCAAACAGATGCGTGTGCTGACAAATTTCGAGAATGGAGACGGTTTGGAGAAAATGTTTCAATAATTGATTTATCTTCAGCTTACTTGCAACTAAAAATTGATGAGAAACTTTGGGCTTACCAAACTGTTGTGTTCTGTGGGAAAAGATTTTGTTTAACACGTTTGGGATGCGGACTAAACGTTGCGCCAGTCATAATGAAACTGGACAAAGTGCTATCGCAAGACGAAAAAATCTAGAAAGGAACGTCATCATACATTGATAATATTTTTGTGAATGAAGACATAATACCTGTTTGTCGCGTACTTGATCATTTGGAAATCTATGGGCTTCATTGCAAGCCGGTGGTCCACGTATCCGATGGAGCAAAAGCTCTTGGTTTACAAGTCGGAATGGAAAATAAAAAGTTATGTTGGAGAAGAGATAATGATTTTGGTGAAATTCCGAAATCACTAACAAGACGTAACAGCTTTTCTTTGTGCAAAAAAAAGACGGAAAATTTTCCGGTTTGTGGTTGGTTGGGTGTAGCCTCGTCATATGTGAAAAGAATAGCAAACGCCTTGACGAAAACGTGGCATGAAAAAATAAAATGCAATTATTTGGAGAAAATGCTGAATGGTATGATACAAAGTACACAAAACAACGATCCTGCTAAAGGAATTTGGAGTGTTTACAGTAACGAGGCAACAATTTGGGTAGATGCTAGTTCAATAGCACTAGGCGTGGTTGTCGAGGTTGATGGCAATATAATCGAAGACGCTTGTTGGTTAAGAAAAGACGACACAACACATATAAACATGTCTGAACTTGATGCAGTAATTAAAGAACTAAATATAGACCTTAATTGGAAAATGGAAATTCTACACATCTGCACTGATTCGAAAGCGTTATTCCATTAGGTTACCGACGCACGCACGGAAAAATCTAGATTGAGAACAAACGTTTCAAACAAAATGCTGATAAGAAGAAGACTTCATAACATTGCGAATGTAGTGGAAGAATACAAACTCAAAGTAGATATTAAACTTACTAGAGTGCCCAATAGTTGGTTAAAATTGGTTGATAAATCCTATGAAATGGCAACAAGTGGCATTGTACTACTAATGCCACTTGTTGCCATTTCATAAGATTTATCAACCAATTTTAATTTTCGCTACCTCCCAAAGACATTGAGCAAGTTCATAGATTTATAGGACATTATAGCGTGAAAAAAACATTGTACTTCGCTCGTAAAATCGACTCGCCAGTGAGCAAGGAAGACGTAAAAAAAGGTGGTTGAGAAATGCTTAGTCTGTCAATCCAAGGCCAATGAAATGGCTGAACGGGGAAATAGAAGTAAAGAGAATGTGGCTGTTGCAAAACTACATTTTTTGAATTTTTTTATAAATATTTTTTAATTGGGGGATGAACTTTTTTGACATATACTAAAAATGCTTGTTATTTTTTTAATTTTTGAACAAAAACTCCACTAAATTTAGTATGGGAATATAGGGTTGCAAATTGTCATATCCCTAATGTATATATATATATATATATATATATATATATATATATATATATATATATATATATATATATATATATATATATATATATATATATATATATATCTACTATAGCATATTTATATGCGCAATTGCTTACTTTTTTTGCTAGCCTAAATTAAGTTAGCGTTTTTAGAAAAAGATGAGGGAAAACGAAGAATAATGAATGAAAATGTTGCTGACCCATACCAAACCCTCAGCCGATGTAGCAGCACTCCACTGCGAGTCAGGCTATTTGTCAGTTGATGTATGTACTGAAGCACCTGTGTATGTACTGAAGCACCTGATGTATGTACTGAAGCCCCTGGCAGCAGGCTATTTGATGTTAGGTGAGTATGACATCATCATGCTCACCTAACTCAGCAGTATAAGATATAAAAGTATATATATTTAAATAAACGGACATTATATACAATTTCTACATACAAAAACACCCAAAAAAACATTTATAAAAACAGAAATATATATTTACAAAAACATTTATTATTTACCGAGAAAATTATTATTACTAAAAAAAAAAAATTACAATCGTTATATACAAAATTAGATTTAAAAAAATATATCACGGTAGATAGGAACATGCTCAAAGACCTAGCAACACAGTTTCAAAAATTTTTTTTGTTTATCATCACAAGTTTATTATCTGAATTTTTTCCGAAAATAAAAAAAAAACTTTTTTCACTGGTAGTCTGGGGAGAAATCACTGGCGAGCCGCCAGTAGTTTTGTTGTTCAAGATAGGTAACTAAGCCCATATGGCATACTTAAATTTCTAGTATGTTGATATGGGTATCAAATTAGGCTGACTTGCAGAAAGTTTAGGTAATTGAAGCTAACCCCGTCTCAAGAACTACATCTCCTAAGATTATAAAAAAAAATTTGAACTAGATCAAAATTTGTCAACAGATTTCAAATTTTATCATAAATCTCCTTCGTTTAAAGTTTTTGACCATAAGAAGTTTAAAATTCCATTCATACACCCCCTGAAATATCTTTGAATGGTTGTAACTTTTAAACGAGAAATTTTTTTTTGATGAAATTTAACATCTGTTGATGAATTTCAATCTATTTTAATTTAACACAAATTAAAAATTTGAAAAAATCCATTTAGAAACCATACCCTAGGGGTGGGCTATTAGAAGTCTAACCATACCCTAGGGGTGGGCTATTACATTAGTTAGATTATTATTTACATTTTGCATGTCATATATCATCATATCATATATCAAAAAATTATGTTAAACAATTGTTCATAGGAGGGTAATATTGTACTTTTTACAAGCTATCTGCAAATTGAAAGTTACTTTAAAAGTGATTGTAGTTG